AACTTGCGAAACGCATCGGCTCAGCCCCTATTAAAAACAAGAAAGAACACGCCCCTCGAATCTAAAGCGCGCAGCGTTCAGTAATCTCCACGAAAGCGTCCTCCGCTGGGTTAAACAAACTCACCCACTGACCGCGACGCCAATGGCAGTAACGACGTACATGTCGACGGCTCGCGCAAAACAGACGCCGCACGCTGGGTTCCTGCATAATTGCTGCGCCCCAGGCTCTCTTGTAACCTGCCGGTAAGCAGGGTTATCGTGGAGGGAAACCCGACTGATCCCGCGTATCGCGACCTCGTGAATGCTTAATTCATTAAGCGGTGAGGAAACAAAGGCCTAGAAAACACTGGATACTTCTTTTACGTGTAAATGGCCGAGGAAAACGAAAGCGACAGGCTCGGTGAGCCAATAACAGTGCCCGATTGGGACACCACGTGACACCGCGCCGTCGGAGCGAACTTCCGGGGGAGGGGGGGGGGGGGGGGCTGTTACGTGCATCACTCCAACAATCTCATTGGCTGATTGAAAAGCGTGGCTATAGCCGTCTGCCAGGTTAGGCTAAAAACGGAGTATAGAGATAGAAGGTTGAAACGCCAATTTCAATTTACAGTTTGGTTCCGTTCGTTAGAGATCAATTTGGGAGCTGTGTCTTCAGCGTTTACGGCTTTGTCGAGTTTGCAGCTCTGCCCCATGCAAACAGCTGGGAAAACAGTCTCCTACAGTGAAGTAGAAGTGTGTAGGTCTATCTATTAACAAAAGCTTCATGTCGGAACTTTGGTGTGCACAAACATTATTTTGACTGCGCCATCTAACTTAGCCTAGCGTTGACCGTCGCTGGAAAGGCTACCAAAGACCGCTCCCGCTACATTGTGGCACTACTAAGATTAGTACGATTATTCGTTTAATGAATAGGCCCCTGAATTCATCTTTGAAGCGATAGTGAAAGGTTTAGTGAATAAGTCATTGATTAAATTAGCGAATATGTCGGTATATGTGGGAGTGAATTAATAGAGCGTGACTGAATATATAAGTAAAGATGTGAGTGAAACGTCAGTAACTAGGCCAAAAAGTACGCCAGTAACCGCGGGTGAAAGGTGGAGGGGAAATCTCGGCAGCAATTGATGAATAGAAATGAGAACGAATAGTAGGTAAGTGAGCAGTTGAGTAAAATCAATAGTGGGCAGTAGGTTAGTGAACAAATAAGGGATTGGCAAGCGAATAGTTGAGCGGAAAGGTAATTTAAACCGCAGTGGGTAGGTGAATAGGTTGGAAACTAAAATTATTGCGAAGAAAAAAGGATCGAAATGTCAGTTATATGGCGAGTCAGTAGGTAATTGAATGAACGAGTAATTAGGTGATTCATTACGTGAGTTAAGAGGCCATTAAATTTGTCAAGACCTCTTTTGAAAGGCGTGTAATAAAACATTGAGGTAATTGGTGACAAAATAGATACTTGCATGTGCATGTGAAAAAATAAGTCAATATTTATTTTGATTAATTTGAGTGAAAATGAGTCAAGTGGGTTTCGCATAGTTGAGTGAACATGCTAGTTAGTATACCTTTGATTAACCCAGTGAATATTTTGATGAATGCGTGACACATTCGGTGACTAGGCTCTTCCGGGAATAAAAAAAAGTTATATCCAGCAGTGATCATAGTTTTGTGATTTGATGTTGAATGCGTTTTTAATGCGAAGTGGAATCACAACCAATTTTCGCGAATTCAAAAGGGCCTCTCTTAGTTAAGAAGTTGGTTTACTAATGCCCCACGCTAGTGACTACATAATAACAGCTTCGATACTCCATTTCATACTTCCAATAAAGTTTTAGCGTCACAAAATTCAGCAGCGAAAACAGTTTTTGTTTTAATAATGCATATCTCGCGCGAGTTTTATAACAACCTCGTTCAAAATAAAAAAAAAATAATAATTTCGTAAGTTACGTACAGAGCCAACGGAGGGTACTTGACATGCTGTCGCCATGAACTCGAGACAATTTTAAACTTCGTGGGAATCATATTTTTATGTTTATATATTTAGATTTCGACCGGCATTGCCATGTATGAAGAGGACAAAACATATTGCTTTTTGATGGGGCCCCTACTGCGTGCACTTCAGAGTAGTTGAGCGTGTACGTTACACCCCTATCTAAGAGGGACAATGTAAACATCGTGGAAGCGATATATTGTCAAAAAATAGTGCTTCCGCAAACTGGGATTTGGTGCTTCCGACCTGGGATTCAGGAACCGGTATTTTGCGTCAAAGCGAACGCAGACAAATTTACTTCCAAGAAAATCTCACCCTGACTTTTTCTTAACTGCCATTCCATTCTACCTGTGAGATGAAGAACGTCAATCTTCAGGTTTCAGAGCGCTACTCATAAAAGTGGCAACGATAATTTCGCGATGGCAATTAAACAAAAATCAACTGTACTCTTCCTATTTTATTTCCTCTATTCCTCCTAATTTCTGGAATTCCACGTCTTTTCCGTCAACCTCCAGGTTTTAATATTTACACTCGGATGTTTCCGTGATTAACTATTTTTCCTTACCTCGCCCCAGCGCTCTGTGCTCACTTAGCCCAGATGAGTCAGCCAGGCACGTCAACGCGGCACGCATGCCCGGGATAACGCGACCAACTCGGGCCGTCCGCACAACAGCGAAGACCGGCAGACGTCGACACGCGGTCTGCATGCCTAACGAGGTCCTTCTACTCCAGGCCACCCCCCAATGCAATTTGCCAACTCTGTGTAAGCCCAGTGTGCGCCGGAAGGGTTTAAAAGTGGATTAAAACTGCATCAAAGCGTCGTAGAAACGCCTCGAGCGCCTCCACCCGGCCCCAGACTCGCCTGCTTCCTTCCCCGAATGCAGCGTAGTCTGGGCGCCTAAGCGCAGAATTGCGGGCCACAACTGGTTAACAAGTTCACTGGTCCAAAAAGGAACGACCGCTTGCTAAGCTTTTGCAATACACAATGTAGCGAAAAGAAAAAAAAAAGTTAAATATGTGTTTGAAAAGAAAAACAAACACTTCTATAGCTGCAAAAATATAAGTAGCCGAGTTTGAGCCGTTGCATTCTGTCACTCCGTTCCTTTCTTTTACAACTTCGATTATTATCGTTCTCCAAGAAAATGGGAAATCGACACGAGGTTGCCTGAGCCAGCACTGTTTTATGTTTAGTGATTACCTAGAGTTAACCGAAGTTCGAACAACATATCGAAGATAAGGTTCCTGGAGTTGGCTTTCCCTTCCTTATAACCTTATTGCAGCGAAGCACCCTTGCGGGTAAAGAGGCGTTCATATCTTTTAATAAAAGGGGACGTGTTTGAAATCAAACACGGTTGTCGGGCGAAAAAACATATTTTAACAGCACCATTTCCGTAATAAACAAAGCCGTTCTTTACCACTTGAACTAATTACTTATTTGCAAATGATATGTTTAATGAAGGAAGTTAAAATTCAACATTTTGGTTGGTTGATTTGTAATTCAGTTCTTTCGACGGATTCAAATAAAAGATAAAACTCACACAAAAGAAATATATCTTCAGATATGTTTAAAGTACGGCATGCTTTTTAAACTCATTTTTTTTTTGTTTACTGTATGCCCGAAATTTAAAAAAACGTTCAAACATCGTGCATTTCAAGCTTTGATGATATATGTGTGTCTCCGACTACCTTAGGATTCATTGCAATGTATACGGCTGCAGTGTTACACATGTTCTGTCGACTGATTCCACTTTAGTTTAATTTATTTTCAAAAATTATATATACAACTTTGAAACGCAATGAAAAATTGAATTTTCCATATCTTGAACCTACTCACAAAAATGACATTTTTTTTTCGTAATATTCCCAGGAACGTTAGCATTTTATTTGCCTAATGAGAGATCACCTTGCTGTATTTTTATAGAACTGATCAAACTAACCGGCGCAACCGATTTGGCGAAATGGTACTTAGTTGCTCAAGTTGGCTTTACTCCAAGGAGTTCAGCTTTCAAATGCAGAAGCAAGGGTCACACTGCTTATACATCGTAGAAACGACACTCTGCATAGAGATTAGAACGTGAGTCACCGCGTGTTCCGTGCTTCGAATGCCGCATGGCAACGAGTTCAAGGAGGAAACTTGGCCAGCGGCATTTTAACCACGGATATTGCGGTGAAAGGTGTTTTCACACTGCCTTTCGTACGATGTGTCGGCAGCGCGACCCCGGCTTAAGGGAGGTGCGCCCAGGAGTTTGGAAGGTGGAGGGGTGACGGGAGCTGGCGTTGGAGAGTGGGAGGGGGCAATATTGACGAGCCGCCATGAGAAAAAAACAAATGTCTGTCCGAAGCCCCTTTGCTGTTCCGACGTCACTGGCTATGTATTTATTTTTGTACTATTAATACTTGTATTAGGACACCCCAGCCTGGGTGAATATTTTTTGTTTATAGCACGAGTACATAGTATACAAAACAGTATATACTTTATTATGTGGTTAATTTTTTTAGTAAATTTACTTTACTATTGAGCTGATTAACTGAGTGACGCTAAAGAGCAGGGTAAAAAAACGTGACACCCAACGTGAGTTTTTAATTTTGTTTTGCTTATTTCCAAGATGCATAGCATCCAGACATTAATCCGAAAGACCTAATCCAGTCACTTCAAAACTAAACAAACGACGCCCGACTACTCAATATATTTCAGTCCACAGAAAAAAAAAAGAAAAAAAAAGCTTTTCCCGGTTTTGTTCTGAGTCTGGCAAACAAACTGCGGTGAGTGCCAAGGCGCCATACACTCTGCTGGACACCGACCACACATCACATTGTTTGACAAAATATTCCCGATAAATAGAGTGGGTATATTTTCCCCTTACATTTAGCTTCGTTGCGGAGAAAGTTATTCGCTCAACGTCAAGGCCACGTAACGTCACTTCAAACCAGGGCCTCACGTTGAACGTTCAGCAGGAAACAGTGTAGGGAGTTCGCTGCAAAACCTCGTGGATAAGGGCTGCCGTGCCCGACTCACCCTGCACGACCATGGGCGCGGTGAAGTTAGCCGAGGCGGCCGGGTTGCTGGCCACGCAGGTGTAGTTGCCCGAGTGGCTCTGTCGGACGGCGGCGAAGGACAGGAAGGACGTGTAGTCGTTGGCCTCGGCCACCGACGCCCTCAGGGCCGGGGCCAGGGGCAGGCCGTCCTTGCGCCACTCCACCGAGATGGGCAGGTCCCCGTCGGACACGATGCACGCCGCCCCCGCGCGCTTGCCCTCCGTCAGGTCCGACGGGAAGGCGAACGGGTTCACCACGGGGGGAACTGAACCGGAACAGAGTTCAAGCTTTACCTACCGTTTCCTATGTAATCAAAGCATCAGCCAGTATATATATCGCATACGTGTTCGCTGTTAATCGAAGCCCGTAGATATTTAAATAATATACGCAATATTGCCCAATTTCGAATAATGCCGCCGGTAGGTCCAATCCTACGGCACCACCTCGTGTGGATTCCCCTATAAAGTCGATACCATCGCGATTTATCCTTCTGCTCAGCCAGTTGTCCGGTCACTGAAAGCGGGAGAAAAATTGGATGCAAAGTTGGCGTGCCAGATACTCGGACCACGAGCCGAACAACGACTCGCGCAGCTTTTTAAGAGATCGGGCGTTGTGAGTGCCAATGTGTATTCCCGCGACAACTCTAGTAAGTTCGAGCTCAAGAAGGTACGACGAGTGAAAGGAAAGCTGGTGAGGAAGAAGCAGACGGAACGCAGAAGAGGAAATGGGTAAACGTTCTCCTGTTTCCAGCGTTCCACATCCCCGGCCTTCCTTTTCATCGCCGTACCTTGTTGAGTTACAACGGACTATAGTATTTCCTAGCCTCTCGTCGTCGGTTGTATTGAAGTCGTCAAATTGCCCCTGCGGCGAAAACTTTCGACCGCACATGTCATTCCACATGAACTTCCTGCAGGACAGACGCGAAGAATACGGCCCTGACTCTTTGTTATCTCGATCGAAAGCCAAGCAAGGCACGAGATGTTAACGTAACCAACATTTGTCGCGCATCTCGACCCCCGGGCTGTCATTAATGAGTGAGCTGTTAAAACCAGACTTGTACTTTGCTCATTTCATGTAGTCAAATTACTCGTCATCGATTACTTTTTGAAGTAACGTTATAATAATTTTAATACATGTATTAGGAAGTAATTGCGAGAATAAATCAATTACCTTTTGACGTACCAACATTAGTCGCAACGGTTACTATTGTTTCCTCCTCTCTCTATTGGCAGCCTTCGTCTTTACAAGTTCCCTAGCAAGGGATCCTCGAACCAAGTTTGCTACGGGCGGGTGCTTTACCAAAATTGGTCGAAGAAGAAGCTAAGTAGTTTATTGTTCGCTCATTAATACTTAATAAAAAAACAGTACGAAACACCCGTTCCTAAACCGGCAGAAAAATCTGTCGTTTCGAATATCTTAAGTAATCCGAAAAGAAAAGGTTGCGTATTGATGTAACGGCCAAATAATATTTTCCTCAACTAATAATCTAATCTAATCGTATACCTTTTAACCGTGAATAATTGTAATTGTAATCAATAACAGGTTTGAGTAACGTGTACGACATTGCTTGAAGTTCGTTACTTAATCGACCCTAGTGGACATGACACATTTTACACGTTTCTTATAAAAAAAGAATGGAGGTTTAAACTCGGAAGTGTAGGGCTACAGCGGCAGAAAAAGCGAGGTTCTCAGGCGATGCTGAAAACGGAGCTCTATTCAAATATGCAAATAGATCAGACTTTTTTTCTTTGATTTTTTGCTCTTAATTAAAATTTGTGTGGCTTCAGTAATGAGATATTCATTTTAAACTTTTTTTTTACATTTATTTAGATTGAAATTGTAAATAAATTTAAAAGCATAAAAATAATTACGCGATCATATTTTCGTACTCGAATCCAGAAAAAAGAACAACAAGGCAGTTTTTTTTTTTGTTTTTTTTCGAAATTTTCTTACGGACGACCGACTGCTTTTTCCTTTTAATTTCCTTTTAACTTTTAATTCCAAGCAGCAAAGTTAAACTAAAAAAAATCCAATCACGTAAATGCTTAAAACGACAAAATATAGCTAAAATTCAACGAACGGGCAGGACAGCAGCAGCTCGTTCACCATGCTTAAACGAGTCTTCTTCTTTGTCCAGATTTTGCTGCTGCCTTTCGGGAACCTTGAAGTGATTTCTGCGGCCTCGGATGAACAGTTTCAAGATCGCATCGTGGTGATTCCAAGCGACGTGACGGGTACCGTGAATTGTGCTCACGCACAATCTTCCCCGATACTCGAGACTGTTCTGTGTGACAACGACAACCGCGGTCACGTGTTTACGGGCTACTCTGTGACGCCCACCGGGATGACTACGGCGCACATCGACAACATAAAAAGCTTCGGACAAGGCTTCGACGCCAGTGGGCAGGACAGCAGCAGCTGGTTCACCATGCTTAAACGAGTCTTCTTCTTTGTCCAGGTATGTGGAAGAAGGAACGATCATTGTTACCGATCCGATAATCGTTTTTTACTGCTGGTGTCTTGCCCACACCAATATGTGCATTTTTTTTAGTGTGTCAGAAACACTGTTCAGTCTTTGCTATGTTGTGGCGACGTTGAGGCCAATCCGGGTCCCATGAGCGATGTTCAGGCTAAGCAGTTTAGCCAAATGTATGATCTTTTACAGAGCTTGAATGCTCGCTCGCTTCAGTTTGAACAGGGACAGGCAAGGCTGCTTACCGGTGTAAATGAAATAAGGGAAAACCAGAAACTTATGCAAGAAGAGGTGGCTGACATTAACAAAAGGTTGCATGTCGTTGAGAATAAAACAATCCTTCTTGAAACAAAACAGCAAGAATACGGTGTCGCCGGTCAAGCAGCTGATAGCTTACGGAGCGAAAACATCGCTCTGCGGGAGCGTCTTGATGATATGGAGGACCGGTCTTGTCGAAACAACGTTATCTTTTACGGTATTCCTGATCTTGCTTCAGAAACGTGGAGTGACGCTGAACAAAAGATAACAAGCCTGCTCTCCGAATGCTCTTTGCCTTCCATAAGCGGAACATTCGGTATAGAGCGCTCACATAGGCTAGGGGCATTTGCTGCGAACAAATGTCGCCCCATCATCGTACAGTTTTCTTCTTTCAAAACAGGGGATCTTATCTTATCTTGCAAAATGCAACTAAAAACGGTAGGCGTGACTGTCAGTGAAGATTTTTCTTTTGCTACTCGCCTGGCTAGGAGAAAACTATAGAATTTGGCAAATCCCAAGGAAGTACTTTCAAACTGCGTTTCAACAAGCTTTATCAAAATAACAACTGCTATACGTACAACCCCCAAGAAGACCGAATATGTGTGTCAACCTCATTCCAACGCTCTGAAAGAAATGTTAGCGTGCTTCCACTAATTTCAGCCCCCCTTTCTCAACCGTCCGGCTCCGCCTAGCGGTCCGAGAGGGGTGGGGGACCAGTTAATGTGCCAGTTGTTTTTTCTAACATTCGAAGTCTGATTAAAAAACGCGATGACTTATACTCAATGATTGACTCATGTGATGCTGGTTTGGTTGTGCTCACTGAAACTTGGCTTTCCTCTCAAGTTAAGGATTCTGAAATATTTCATTGTAGTAAAAGTTTTGATGTTTACCGGAATGACCGCAAGGAACGTTCTGGAGGCGGAGTTTTGATAGCAGCTGTGCCTGAACTTAAATCTTTTTTGATAGACATAAAATCTGATCTTGAGATAATATGGGTAGGTCTTTCCATTGGACACAAAAAGCTAGTATTAGGCTGTTGCTATCGTCCTCCAACAGGATCAAATACTTTTGTTGAGCAACTTCATGATGCAATTAACCTTGTCCGTGTTCGCTTTCCAAACTTGCCCATTTTTCTTATGGGCGACTTTAATTATCCCGGCATCGTCTGGTCTGATTTAAGTTCTTCATCGAAAAACCCCTCAACTGAATGTAACCAGTTCTTAAATCTATGTTCTGATTTTAATATTTCGCAAATTGTAAGATTTCCGACAAGGACAACAGACTCCTCGGCGAACGTGCTCGACCTGATACTGACTGATACACCTAATTTAATTTCTGATATTTTATACCTTCCTGGTCTCAGTGATCACTCGTTGCTTAATTTTTCTTTTATAACTCCCGTGTGCCGTAATACAAAACAGATCAAACAAATTCGGGATTACAAGAGGGCCAACTACGCAGCGATTAATGAAGGTCTGTGCTGTTTTTTGGAGGACTTTTTGCCAGAGTTTTGCGAGCGTTCAGTTCAAACCAATTGGGACTTATATAAAAACAAAGCCATTTCTTTATTTAATGAGCACATTCCATTACGCTCAATTATAACAAACACACAGTCTCCATGGTTCACTCCTCAACTCCGAAGGCTCTCAAATAAAAAGAAACGTTTGTTCAGAAACGCAAAGCGCATTGACTCGGAGGGATACTGGCAACGTTATAATCTCTCAGCGAATGAATACAAAAAAGCAGTCGGGGAGGCTAAATATTACTTCTTTAATGAGTGCCTACCATCTATGCTAATTAATAACCCTAAACAGTTTTGGAGTGTAATGAATCCCAGTGTTGAGCGTTCCCTTTCACTTAGAAATGAGTCCGGTGAAATGTTTCCCAATTCACTGTGTTCAACTGTTCTCAATGACATGTTTTCTAGTTTATTTAATAATGTTACTGATTCATTTTGTCCATCATATCCTTCATATGACTTTTTTCCCATGAATCCAATTGTCATTGATGAGTATGGCATTTTAAAGATTATAGAGTCAACTAAACAATCATCGTCATCTGGTGTTGACAATATTAACTCAAAGTTTCTAAAGAATACAAAAGAATATACATCAATCATTTTGTCTAAACTATTTGAGCAATCTCTTTCACTAGGTCAGCTTCCAGACGACTGGAAAACTGGAAGGGTGATTCCACTGCACAAGACTGGAGACAAACATTCCCCTTCTAACTTTAGACCCATTTCACTCACAAGTATTTGTTGTAAAACGATGGAACATATAATTTATTCTAATCTGGTTAATTTTCTTGAATCTAATTCATTCTTCAACGTTAACCAACACGGTTTTAGGAAATTTTTTTCATGCGAGACACAACTTGTAAGACTAACAAATGATTTCCATCGCGTTCTAGATCGTGGTTCACGAATTGACAGTGTTTTTCTTGACTTCTCCAAGGCGTTTGACAGGGTCTCTCATAACCTTCTTCTTCTTAAGCTTCACAAACTTAACATTGAACCGCATGTACTTTCGTGG